CATATGGAATAGGGCACATCGATTTTGGAACAATGGTACTGCACTCAATTTAGAAGTTGGAGTTTTACATGAGGAATACATTCTTTTCCAAATCCTTAACATTTTTTTAAGGAAAAGATTTTAATTATTAACTTTAGGTTTAAAATCATAGCGTTGGAATTTCATTCCGGTGATCAGTGAAAGTCTTATAAAATTATAAGATTATAAAATATTAACTGAAGCTTCGGAAATTATATATGGACAAGATTCATGGCACAAGGACATTTCTAATAAATCATTGTGCGATCAAATAAGAGCTTCATTTACTTCAAAGGGAAATTATACAGAACAATTTAGCTATATTAGGATTTGTTGTTATACAATACTGTAGTTTTAGTGTGATTTTCAATAAACAATGCAAATTTAAAACATTTTGTCTTAGAATTTGTTCCCAGTAGTATTATGGTGTGATATACACTTTTATCTAGATTTTGTTTTTAATTAATTATGATCTAACAAATGATTTAACAAATCTTATTCACTGAGTAGCTCTTATTTTTACAATTTTTTACGCAGTTTTTACTTATCGAATCCAGTAATAAAATTGCATATTTTGCTTGTGGTGATTCATAATTAGAATTCAATTTTGAATATATTTTCCATTCAATTTATCTAATGAGAAAAGATATCAACTTGAAATAGTAAAATTTTGAAGTCAATTTTTGAGAGCAGTTTCGTTTTTATAAGCCATAAATAATACAAAACCTCCATATTTACAGTGGAACCCGGATATAAGAGACCCGGATATAAGAGAAACCCGGATATAAGAGAAACCCGGATATAAGAGAGATTTTATCTGGTCCCAAAGTGTTTCCATACATACCTAAACAAAATAGACCAAACCCGGATATAAGAGAAACCCGGATATAAGAGACTTCTTCTCCAGTCCCGCCAACCCTCTTATATCCGGGTTACACTGTAGTTACTCCTCTTGTCTGTATATCTGTGCTTATATCTCTCTTGTATTCTCTTCATTATATTCTCCTCTGTTTTTCTTCTTTTGCAGATGTTTATATTTAAATTAAAGTTAAAAATCATGACCTATGTGATTTCCAAAGAGGAGAAATTGTTGGAGCGCATATGAGATCATCTCTCTAGCCAACTTTCATCATCACTTTTGAGTCCAATCCAATGGCTCGTCTTCTAACTTACTTCTTAGGTAGCCTTTACGATTGAGCTTACTTTCCCTTACTTGATTCTAATTAATTCTAACCCTCTCTGCATACCCGTGCCTCCGTATCCTCTAAGCTCAACAGGGAAATATTTAACCTGATCCCACACGTCTTCGCATACCTCAACCAGTTTTTCTTACCGCTATTCGTTCCGAATGTGAGCAGCGTTAATTTTTTCCGAATGGGAAACTTTGAGTTCAACAAGATGAAAAACCTTCCTCCCAGAACACAAGGTTACTAGATCAGTTCGCTGGCTGATTTGTACTGGAAATAATTTTCAGTTGTCAAACTGATCTGCTAGAATCTTCCATTTACTTAAGATTTTATTTATACGATTATTATTATTACACATTATTACGTGTTATTTGGCCAATGAAAGAAAAAATCAAACCAACAGTAATAAACAGCGCATAAATTATATTTAACTTAATATAAAAGTAACGAAATTGAGAAAATCGGCAGTCAACTACTGATACCTCCTGAACGATTACAAAAAAGATTCGTCTACGAAACTCTGGAGTTGCGATGTTGAATATAACAACAATCAGCTAAGTGACAAATCACATATATGTATTAATCATATAATAATAATAATAATAATAATGGACTCTCCCGTCAGTTTCGACGTATGAAGATCTGAAAACTTAATTGATTCAGTTATGAATTTTTTTGCGATAATCTTAAGTGGCACTTAAGACCCGCTAATGATTTACAAAGGAGGCCACATATGGAGCAAGAGTAAGGATTGTGGGATGAGATCACTGTTAGATTGGCTGACCTTTTAGATCTTGCTTTCGTTTCTTGAAGACGATTCAAACAATCTGATTGAAAACTGCTAAGTCCACTACAACACGTTGATCCCCATTCTACCCGCTCCAAGGCTAAGCGCTCGATGGTGTTATGATATATATATATATATATATATAATCAGTAATTGATAATGGGTAAAGGTATAGCCGAAAGTGCTTGGAAAACATTCGGACAATTATTATATGATAATTTATGTACTTGTTGTGACCAAGTAAATGGTTAAGAAATAACAAAACAAGAGTTTGCAGATAAATAGTATATTGAACAGTAAATACAACAGAAGTGTGTTACACGACTTAGGTGTGTGTGTCGGTTGACCAACGTTCAGTCTATATCATTGTTGATATTTAATAGACCCCTCCCCGCAAGGATACATGTGGCACAAGGCCGAGTTTAATGTGGGAGATCCGAGCCCTAGGCTCGTCCAAAAAATCCCCGTAGAACCCGCGTAAACGAGCTCAGGTCTGTCTACCTCCCCCGGACGAGACTCTGCCCTTCGGCACAGCCTCGTCCGGGTTTTTCTCTGCCCAAAGGCAGTGAGTTCGACAGGAGCTGTGAACAGTCACATCCCCGGTAGAAAAGTCTATATCACTGTTCCCACGAGGCTTACTTTTTCCTACAAATTTTATAGCAAGTGCAAGAGTCCACAATATCCTAATTAGAAGGAAAACATCACAACAGTACTGAAAAGATAAAAATTATACCAACACATGAGAAATTTATATAAAAAGCTCAAACACCACACCTTGTCAGTCGTTTTCAACGAATCTCGCATAAAAGAGGAATTGCTGCCCAAATACACAATTTTTAATATATATATATATATATATATATATATATATATATATATATATATATATATAGCGTTAAGACAGCGATTTTTTAAAAAATAAAGCGTTAAGAGGTCATATGATAAAAATCGCCTGAGGAGACCGTAAGGTTGAAACCAAAGGTAGCGGATTCAACTGACCTCCTGAAATTTAATATATATATATATATATATATATATATATATAAAATGAAATTGAATAGCTTTGATTTATTTTTATGACTTATCAAACATTTGTGGGTTATTTGAAGCGAACACATATTTTTTATTGTAAGAATATTTTTTTTTTGCAATTGAATTTTGCATTAACAATTTTTCTGAGAACAACAATCATCTCTCCTGATACAAGTCTTACTATTTAACCCATAACTGTGGGGTGTGGATAAATCCATACCTTTCCAAAGGCCATTTGTCCGTCAATGAATATAACTTTCGACGACGATAAGGATAACAATAGTCGCGTATCCATAAACATATGACCCATCATTATTTGTAGCCATATCTACTCGAAAACTTGAGATGTCGAAAACAGAATGTTGTCAATGCGATGAATGTAGATCGGCTCTAGATGAATTGCACGCGTCACACTGAAGATTTTATTTTCATGTAATCTTCGAAACGCGTCTATTTTAACTTTTCTTCTAATTTTACTGGAGCCATATTTCTTTATTCTTTTTTTCTGATTTTTATGTTTTTAACTTGTTCTCCAAGAGTGAAACACGTTTTCTGACATTCAAGACAAATGTTTTAACTCTAACCGTTGATTAAATTATGACAATGGTCAAAGGTTATTGCTAAAAAGAGGTGGGATTTCCGGTTAGTTTTTTGTACGATCATCCATCTTCGTGAAATACCAACAAATGTACAGGTTTGCATATACTTAAGCTAAAGTAGAACAACCTGGCGTTACCAAAGTTTTATAATATATATATATATATATATATATATATATATATGTGTGTGTGTGTGTGTGTGTGTGTGTGTGTGTGTGTGTGTGTGTGAAAATATATAGAAAATAGGAAAGAACTGGTTAGGTAAATAATCCAAAGTTCCTTAGTATTTTAGTTATTATTTTTTTAAAAATTCGCTTAAAGATGGAACAGACCTTACTTTAACTCAATTTAATTCAAAAAATGATATTGAAGTTTTCGGCTTTTGTTTTGAAACATGAGACCTCTTATGTCGCGAGTTGGAATCATATTTTTAAATAAATAATTATATATATATATATATATATATATATAATTTATTATAATATATATATATATATATATATATATATATATATATATATATATATATATATAATTTATAATTGTAAAAAAAAATAAAAATATCTATAAGAACACCGGGTTATATATCTTACTGTTCTTTATATATATATATATATATATATATATATATATATATATATATATAATATAAAGACCGGCATTACTCGGGGTTTTATGAAGTTAAATTTTTTGGGGTTTGAATGATTGAACTTACGCACGTATCCGCAGTTGTTGAGGTCAGTGATAAGGCAGGGAATCTCACTGGTAGCAAAATCAATGATATCAAGGGCAATTGGTTGCAACCGGTGGCTGCTGTGTTGCTGCTCCGTGTTTACCCGAAGACTGTCACCCGTTCATAATCGGTCAAGAGTTTTAATTTTGTCAATGTAAAATAGTGGTTGCGTTTTCACTGTAGGACTCACCCCTTCACTATTAAATCCATAAGTTTTCCCAGTTTTAAGCGGGATACGCTTACGGTAATGTCATGCCTGTGAGTGTAATCCTGTCCAGGTAGGAATTCACGCGTTATCTCAACCCATTTGGGGTTGCAGTTAAACGTTATAAATAAGTCTGGCCGCCCATATTGCCTAACGTATGTCATAGCATCCTGCGTGCGTTCATGCATGTAACGCCCCCCCCCCAGTGTAGGTAGCGGGCAGAATGCACAGCTTCCCTAGGTCGCGGGGATTGACTTCATTTCGTAAGTGTACGTAGGAGTCTGAGCGCAGCCGTTTCTGATGATTCCGTATAAAACAAAGCCTCTCCGATTCCATCTTAGTGGCCATGTCAACCGCAAACTGGTGGAAAAGCTCCCTGTATCTACGAAGCAGGTTAAGTCTCCATCCCTAACCATGAAACGGTAAGAGCCTTGCACGATTAGGCTTTGGAAGACGTTGTAGGTCCCCTCCTCCGGAGTATGAAGGGGAATGCCGAAGTGGTAGTCATCGTCACCATAAGGGAAAAGTAAAGGGTACTGCAATGCGTCATATGATCGACGAGTCTCTGAAATCCTGTGAAGAGCGCCGCCTCTTGATTTGAGGGCAATATCGCGAGTGCAGTCTTACTCCCATGTATAATAGCGGCCACTTCGTTGCACGCAGGAGCATTGTATCGGCGTTTATGTTCATCATGAGGCCGTTTGTCGGCGTCAATTACAATGCTGAAGGAAGGAACTGGAGCATTTTACAAAGCATATTTGAAACTGCGAATGTATCTGTTAACCTCGTGAAGCATGGCCTGAAGTAGTAGTATGAGGTCCCTGCGAAGGAACTCTTCCCGACGGCGGCAAAATACCAATCCGGGTTTCGGCCTGTAGTCTGAAATAAAGTACAGTTGAAGGAATTTAGGCATAGAGGTCTCCCCAGGCAGCAGAGACCCAATGCGGTGGTATACCTGCCCCTGTACTTTGAAAGTGGGAATCCAACCCTTTTCTTGAACCACCTGAGCCCCAAATGAGGTCATTTGAAAGGAGTTGTTGTATTGCCTAATTGTTTTAAGAAAGTGGTTGGATTCGGGATGGAAGCCGGATATTAGTCCCCTCAATGGGGTAGGTGGTTCATGCAGAGGTGGCAGTCGAACTTTGCCGGAGGAGCAGCACATACCGGCAGGATCTCCGGCCCATTTGCGGGCGTTGCAAAATTGGCAAACGCAGGTCATGGATGTCGTCACGCGTAGTTAAGTTAATGCCGGGGTTGTAATTGAAAGCCAAGAAAGACCAAAAAAGCTACAGAGACAGGTAATACCACGGGCGGCCGCAAGGCGTTGAATGTCGCCGTCAAGGCGTATGCGGCGAGCTTGGGGAGTTTGAGATAAACGCACAGCAGCCATGTTTGTAGCAGCTCTTGAAAGTCAGTTTGCCCTTTTCTGTGGGCCCTCGGAGTTTCTGGCAGCAGAAGTCGCTGCAGCGTTGCGGGCATTGCGGCTTACCCGCTGCAGCGCTGTCTCGGGCTCCCTCTACCTAGCTGTTGCAGCAGCGCCCCTGGATTGACGGGCACGCCTGCGGTCAAATGTTACAGCAGCCCTCGACCTGGCAGTCGTAGCAGCATTCGTAGCATTTCGAAAAGACCTACGGAGCGGTGTTTCAGCAGCCCTAGCGCTTGCTGTTGCAGCAGCGTCCCTAAATTGACGGCTGCGCCTGCGGTCAAGTGTCTCTATAGCTCTTGATTTCGCATTGGCAGCAGCGTTTCTTACGTTACGAAGAAGCCTTTGATGATGAGTCTCGGAAGCTCGAGATGCAGAGGCGGTTGCTGCAACCAGTGCATTCATTCTCAACCGTTGTGCATTCTTGAGCCTTGATCGCAACGAAGCCCTGTAAGCAGCTTTCCCAGCCAAGCAGGTGGCACGCTCCTCTTGTGAATGCGAGGCCTGCGTAAGGGCGCTGCGTTGAGCGACCCGTGATAGTAGCATTGTAGTCTGTTCCTGGGACTCGCGGGCCCTTCTTGCCCTCATAGCGGACGCTATTGCAGACCAAAGGCTAAGACGTACCCCCCTTTTTGGTAGCATGGGGAAAAGTGATGCTAGTAGTGGTTGATTAGTGTTGCTCAATTGCAGGAGTACAAAGTCTAACTTAGTATTGCAAAACGTGAGCCAGAATCGGGAAGGGCTGGTATTTAAGTAAAACAGCTGAATAAATTGTTTATGGTAGTTGGAAAAATGTAGTTAAACAGCCAAATGGAAAACCTAAGAAACAATTTGCAGTAGGAGAAATGATCAGTTGAAGGAGCTTCTCGTTGTATCAACCGGATGACAGCGTAACAGGAGCAGAAGTGAGACCTTCGTCCCACCGCTGTGTACAGCAGGTTCAAATGCGAAGTATTACTAGCCAATCGGTTGTACCAATCAGCCAGCGTCCTTGGATCTCAATCAGCGACCGCATACTCAGCCAATGAGAAATTAAAAACAAAATGCACATCACACCAAAAATATCTTGGAAAATAAGGAAAAGATCATCAGCCTACAACAACCAATCAAAAACTTGCAAACTTTGCTTGGAGGAAAAAAAAGCTATCATTGCTTTCCCAGACCAAAATAAATTATTAAATAAAAGATCCGAGCTCATCTCAAAATGCAGACATGAAAACAAATTTTTACTACGTTACTGAAAAATTGAAAACTGAAAAAATAAAATAAAAACAAATAAATAAATCAGTAAACAAAATAACAATAAAATAAGCAAAATTAATTAATCCAAAAAATTACCAAATCACACTTGTTAGAATAGACGAAATAGAATATAAACACAAATTAAAAACTGTTTCTGCCAAAATAATAGTTAGAATAAACTACAACAACCAACCCCCAAAAACGAACAAATAGCTTTAATTAAATTCTCAAACCAAAACAAAACAATTAAATAAGTGATGTAAACAAATTTTTACTACGTTAATAAAAACACAGATTAAATAATAATTAAATAAATAAATAAAAAAAATATGAAACAAAAAATAAAATTAAATAAAAACAAGCAAAATAATTTAACCCAAATAAAAAAATAAACGACTTTCGGTAAAATAACGGCAATAATAGACTACCCACAATGCACCACTGACCCGTATATGTATAAATAGCCGAGAATAATAACAGCACACGTGGCCTGACGATTGAATATAGCATGAAAGAGACTGTCGCCTCTAAGTGTTGACTTCTATGTTCACTTTTATATATATATATATATATATATATATATATATATATATATATATATATATATATATATATATATATTAAATAATGAAGAATGAAGGAATGTCTGATTATATCTTCTTCCTGATGGCATGATGTCAATCAATCCCTGTTCAAGTCTTCCTGCAAACCACTGCCCCTATGGAACAGACTCCCAAGAGGATGTTTCCCCAATCACTACAATCTTAACCTGTTCAAGTCTAGAGTTAACCATTATCTTCCTCTCCTATCCATATAAACTACCCATTGGTGAGAAGTAAGTTCCACACAAACAGCTTCTTCCTACAAACCACTGCCCTATGGAACAGACTCCCAAGAGGATGTTTCCCCAATCACTACAATCTTAACCTGCTCAAGTCTAGAGTTAACCATTATCTTCCTCTCCTATCCATATAAACTACCCATTGGTGAGAAGTAAGTTCCACCCAAACAGTTTCTTCCTACAAACCACTGTCCTATGGAACAGACTCCCAAGAAGATGTTTTCCCCAATCACTTCACAACAATCTTAACCTGTTCAAGTCTAGACTTAACAATTATCTTCCCCTCCTATCCATATCAACTGCCTTTTCCAACTGTATTAGCGCGTAAGTGGATGTTATGAACTCGACTGGAATTCGAACTCGTCTCTCCAATTCCTCAATCCAAACTGCAATTTGTCTAACGTACCTCCCTCCACTTACTTCCATGATAAACCAACCACAAATTTTCATTTACCTTTAGAAAATCTCAACATCTTTTGACGACAGTCTATTTTTAGCAACATATTTGGAATTTCAAACCATTCCTCAGACAGAAAACGAACATTATCAATTGACATTTGTGCGCCGGGCAAAAAAAAAAAAAAAAAAAGAAAAAGCCGCTCCCTGTTTGGGATAGGGTTAAGATCAAGTCGAATTTTAAGTCATTCAGAACAATTTCTTTATCGAACCCATCACCAAGACAATTTATTTTTCTCTTTGATAATAAAGACCTCAAAAACCCGATTAGAAATGAATAACAAAAACTCATTTTTAAAAGTAAATATACGAAATTGCTATCTTCACCAAACAAGAACACCTAAGTTGGGCAAGATATAAGAGACATGTTTGAAGATAAAAAAACAAAAACTTATAAATCAGCGTTTCTTAAGCTGTCGTTAAGTTCAGTCTCGGTGGGAGCAATTACCCAGGTAGTTCCTCTCCAATGGATGAGGGCTATAGTTAATCGTCATCGGCTGAGGAGATTGGACTGCTTTTGACTTCTGGTCCAATCTACATGCGTGACCCTCCCACTATTTAAAACCCGGTCTTGGGTCATATTCCGTTCGGGTAGGCGTACGGATAAATATCTAAAAACTGCATTTCTTTGCCGTCACAATTTTACATAATATTTGCGCATGCGCACAAACATACCCGATGCTTTTGTTAAACTGGTTCTGGTTGTGTCTGTTGCTGCACTGATCTGAAACGCGTTATTTGTAATGTATATTTGTTTGACTATAAAAATCAAATAACAGTTTTTATTACGTGCAGGAATCTCAAGTATAAGATGGCTTTCCGTAAAAAAATAAATAAAATAAAACAAAATTCACAAACTTTTAAAGTGAGCTGATATAGTAAAATAAAAAATATTTAAAAAAAAACATTTCGATTCGTTCATTATTTCTATAAATTCCACATAATTCACGTTAATTAATTTGTAATTATAACACGCCAATTTGTGTCTGCTCGTAACAACTGTAAACGTATCCCCAAAGAGGCTTTGTTTGCTGATAGAAAGAGGCACTGTATAGTCTCTAATATGTTTGTGATGTAATGGAATAACCTGTCACCCCCACCCCCATGAGTGACTACATTATAGGTATTAACTACCTATAAGTATCTGAAGTCAACGGACTACAGAGTCTAGCCGAAATCTTTTCGAACTCGCTGCCTCTGAGCTGAGAGGAACCCGGACGAGGCTATGCCGAAGGGCAGGGCCTCGTTCGGGGAGGTTGACCAACCCGATCCCATTTATGCGGGTTCTACGGGCATTTTTTGGCCTAGCCTACGGGTTCGGATAACATACGTGCCACATCTACCTACGTGGAAGGGGTGCTAGTAAATATTGACTAGCTGCGATCTGTTCCAGCTAGACGGTCGAACTCTCTGCCTTCGGGCAGTGAGGAACCGGAACGCGGCTCTGCCGAAGAGCAGACTATCGTTCGGGGAGGTTGACCAACCCCGTTTCCAAAAAAGCGCGTTCTACGAGGATCTTTTTCGTCGAGCCTACGGGCTCGAATCACCCACGTTAAACCCGCCCTTGTGTCACATCTACCCTCGTGGAGGGTCTAGTAAATACCGACTAGCTGAGATCTGTTACTCAGCTCTTAGCTGCTGTCGAACTCTCTTCCTTCGGACAGAGAGGAACCTGGACGAAGCTATGCCAAATTGCAGTCTCGTCCGGGGGAGGTAGACAGACCCGAACCCGTTTATGCGGGGTTTACGGGGAATTTTTGACCGATCCTACGGGCTCGGATTGCGTTACATTAAATTCGGCCTTGTGCCACATCCTACCCTGTGGGGAGATTGGTAAATATTACTAGCTGGGATCTGTTGAGTAAGACTCGGACTTACGCAAGAATTATGGACCTTCCAATAGTAGCACTCACTACTGGATTGACTTACGACAAACTTGTGCATAACTGTTATCTTTATTCTTATTGTACTGTTTTTTTACAATAAACCTTTACTTATTTTATCCACCTTGTTTTTCAAATATATGTTCCTGTTAGTACGCAATATAACAGTTTCGTTCTAGTGACTACTTCCGGCTTTGTAATCTTCGCTCAATTTGGCGTGCCGAGTTCAAATTTCAACCGAGTACATTGCGTTCGTTTTCACACAGATCCACTTGGAAAAGTGTGAATGCATCACTCGCAATGATCCCAGCTACGAGTAAAAGAGTAGGCCAGGCAGTGATCCTACACACCACAGGAAATACAATTATTAAAAAATATTAGTTATTCATATGAATAACAAGTCAAAAATAACATCATTTAACTAACCAAAATATATGAATAACCTGACGTGCCAAAAGTCATCGAAAAACAGTATGTAAAAGTGATGATTAGTGACGCCACTATACATAGATGTCATAGAACTGCGCAAACCTATATCAGTTGTACTCTGATATCTGATGAGTTGATGTGAACATTGGCTGGACAACAGTTTACTCACTCCAGCTGTTGTCATTAATCTCGTGTATCGGATTCTGCTCTCCACTTACTTCTTGGGTACTTATATAGTTTCGATGGTTTAGGCAGTTATTTATATATCACTACAATCTTAGTGAAATATATTAGGCATAATAACTCGTAAGATTATTCAAAATATGTGTGAACTACCCCCTTGTGCAAATTAACTGAAACAAAACGAATAATTCCGTTATTATTTACATTTTTTCCTATTTTTCAATGAAATATGACCCAATGCACATGTTAGTACTTCGTATGTCCATTCCATGCAATTTTTCCTTGCAGATTGACCACAGATTCTCGATTGGATTTAAATCAAGAAAGTTTCTGGGCCAGTCCATAGTACTTTGATTTGCTCACTGGTAAGGCTAGCCAGTGTGTTCGCGCAGCGTTACAATTCTCGTACGTTTCCTTGGAGTAACGTCCACTGCAGACAATGGCCTTAGGACAACTAATCGACAGTCGAGACAATAGTATCTGGGCGTGATAAAAATCTGATGCAATCATGAATGACACAATATTTTTCAAGGCCAAACAAATTTCATCATACACCCTGAAAATATTACTGCACACCACTGCATGTGACCTGCAAATCTGAGAAAAAAATAGAAATCGATTACAGCCTGTAACTCCAGTGGGTCTAAAACTAACCGTATGGTCAAAGAAAGGAAACTAAAGTGATTGTTTCAATTAATTTCCACAAGGGTGTATATAGTTTCAATGGCTTAGCTATGCTAATTAGGCAGTCATTTATATATCTTCAATCTTACTGTTAAATTTAATGAATAATATAGTACATCATAAAAAAGAAATATATATAGATGATTGTACTTGAAGGATGTGTAATGAGTGTGAAATAATAAAAAATCTCTTCACTCACTCCCTTCAAATTCAGCTGAGCTGAGGAAGAAGAAATTCGCGAGCTTATGTGTGAATTTTGCCTTTCATGGATATTCACCAGTGTTTGTGTTAGATCATTTAATCTGTTGTATGAACATTTCCTCTTCATGACAATTCGTTAAAACTACGGACTTTACAAATTCTGATTTATTTTCCTGAAACTACTTCAAGCGTATCAATTCGTGAATAAATTCTTTATCTCGTTTTGTTAAAATCACCCGTGTGGTTCCAGGTTTTTGTCAGTCTTCGTTACTCGTCTTTGCTTTGGTAAATCAATTTTAATCCCTAGCCCCGCACTACGATAGATGTTTTTAGTTTCAGAAATACGGGGTCGTACTAAACTCAAGTAGTTTTAGACACAAGTAAATACGATATATGACGTCACTCCAAAATATTTCTGTGTCTATTAATTCAATTTATATCAGATAAGTATATATTTTTTTCTTATAAGCTTTATTTTATTTATTTATTTATCAAGCAATACACGTCAGCGCTTTAGTCACTTAAAAAAAATTCTCTTTTCATATTTTAGCCTTAATAGCAATACATGAAAGAATCTTTCTAAATTTAATAATTTCACCGGGGGTAATTTATATCTATACAAACTCATATTTTTTTCTCTTTTTTTTTTTTTAGGAAGGACTAATTGCCTTGAACTAACGTATCCAAAAAAGCCGGTTAAGGTGTAACACGTTTTGGTTGAAGATTTTAGTGATTACAAGAAGAAGAGATGGGGTGAGATAGCGATGACGTTTGCCTTTACAGCCTTCTACCGGTAGGCGGCATTGTAAAAGAATGTCATCATGTTCAAGAAGAAGATTAGCGAAACAGTTATTTCCTCGGGAAGTGGAAGCGTCGTGGCGAGTTCAAATTTCACTGGGTCTCTTCCGTTCACTAATAATCTTGAAGAAAACAAGAACTCCAAATATGGGCAATATAACAAAGTAGACTGGATTCTCTTACTTTGAATTGCAGCCAGACTCATTACCATAATGCGCCTCCCCACCGCCTTGTGCCTACCTTCGTAGAGTTCTACAACAGGCACTTCGACCCAAAATACACATCTTTTTTAAAATTTCTTTTTTGTTTTATATTGCTATAGATTAATTACAATAGATTAATTACATTTTAATTTAATCACATTTTACACAGTTAATCCCGTCCTAGGTAAGACGATAAACTACATCTGGCATCCTGGGTATGACGATAAATTACATCCGTATCCTGGGTAAAACGATAAACTACATCCGACATCATTGGACTTTGATTAGGAGGTTTCGACGAGCGTGGAACCACCTCTTAATTGCTGGTGTTTCCAGGTCAACCCTGACCCGGAGTGGTAACACTTGTCAGGGTCCCAGCTATGGGCAAATAGTTAACCTCCACAAAAAAGGGGGTGAAACACTATGAAAGTATAAAAATAGGTTTCAATACCAGCAATCCTTTTTTTTTTTTTTTGAAAAAATATTACCAGCAATAAAAATCTTGTCGGCATTAAATAACCCATTGACATTGATATGCCGTAAAACAAAACAAAACAAACCAGTTTATACTGAGATAGATAGATAGATAGATAGATAGATAGATAGATAGATAAAAAATATTACCAGCAATAAAAATCTTGTTGGCATTAAATAGCCCATTGAGGTGATGATATGCCGTAAAACAAACCAAACCAGACAGATTTGTTTTTGGCCTGTGAAGGAAGCTCATTGACTCTCCAGCGATGACTGAGGTAAAAAACCTTTATGTAACAGTCTCACTCCATATTGTAGGTACACTAAGTACAGATTGGGAAGAAGAATAGATATTTAGTAGAAAAAAAAAGTCATTTGAAAGCCATGAGTAGTAAAAAAAGTTGTGAATTGTCTTCTGTAACACAGGAAATGTTTTGAAATGACAAGCCATCATCTAGATAACTGAAATGTGTAGCAATAAGCATTCAAGTGGAAAAAAGTGTTTTTGTTTCAATTTGATCCAGTTTCAGTCCTTGAAAAGTCCTGGATTTTTTTTTTTACAAAAGATCTGTGGGAACATAATAACCCATTTTTAATTTTTTTTTTTCATCCCAAGCAAGGCAATAATACCATTGGATAATTAAGTTAATTACTAGATGTGAAAGAGCGAAGAGAAAGGACAATAAAAGAACAAAATATGACGATTATGTATTTATTTAGAATGTAATGAACAATTGTAGAGTTACGTCATAAAATCTGGCATTTTTTTTTTTTATTTTACAGGAATTTGTCAAAAACATGGATGTCAAAGAGGAGTGGAACTAGAACACTGATCCCATCAAAAAAATGGTTCACGTGGAACTCCAAACAGTCTGAAGAAATAAAGGGTTCAACGGCCGAAACGTTCAACCACCTGAAGAAGGCCGGGCGACAAATGCCATGAAACATTGTCCGTGTGATAAATATGGCGACAAAGATGAGGACATTAGTCCATAATGTAAATAATATAATCATCTCAGAAATATAGACAGATTTTATTTTTTGCAAGTCATTGTCCAACATTTCTTTGAATCTTCGCAAAATTACGAGGAAGAATTTGAATTTCATACAGTTGCTAATTCACTGGGTGGACACAGGCGGAATTGTATTTAATAGTTTAAATTTCTAACAGTTGATGATGCTGTAAAGATATACGAGTCATTCAAATCGCTTCTTCATCTGTGAGAAGATTGTTCAGCATATACTGTCATATACGAGAACTGATATTAATTAACAGCTCACTATTCTTTTCTTTGTTTCTGTAACGAAATTTTCCTGTTTCTTAATACTTTGCTTAGAGTTTGGAAGGCATTATTCCCTATCCAAATGTGCTTTCGGATTCAGTGTCGCACTTGGTGACCTCCGTTATAACACTTCCCAGATATTTAAATTTTTCCACTTACTTGATTTAGGCATCTCCAATGTGTAATTTGTATGTTAGGTTGTTCCTTTTGCTAACAACCGTCCTCTTGCAATTGATGTTTAGTCCTTTCTTCACGCCTTCCTTCCCTACCTTCTGTAGGAGTTCTTGTAGTTTCCTTTCCATTTTCAGTGATCTCAACTATTACGCCATTGTTTTCTTCTGTCCCTTTTTCCCTTCAATCTGTCTTGTGAGTATCAAATTTTCCAATCATTCTTTCCTCATTATGTGCCCTAGAAATTTCCACTGTCTATTTCTGATGATTTATATAAGTGTCCTTTTTGTTTCCATTTTCTCTGAAACATCGTCGTTGCTCACAAATTCGGTCCATCTAGATTTCGAATTAAAAAAAGAAATCACGTGATTTTATATTTGGGACAAATGAAATGTAAACCAACTTTTTTTTACATTTATGTTTACCCAATACAAGGCCTAAGAGCCACTCAATATAGAGTGTTATTGAATAATTTTGTATGAGCGTTAGTAAAGGAAGGCATGAGGTTTGGAGAAATGACTGCTAAACCGAGACTTGAAGATTTTAGTGATTAAGAAAGTATCCCATTGGGAGTTTCTTCCACAAAGTAGCAATTCTAGGGAAGAAACTATTCAATTGGAACTTCTTCCTTACTAACGATATATGAAGTTAACCCTAGAATACTAACCATCAATTAAAGTTACACCACTACTAATCATGGGTAAATCATACCCAATTTTGAAAATATCAACAAAAAAAATATTAAATATAAATTTTTATTTGAAATATTTTACAAGCAAGCACTTCAAACTTTGTACTTTGAGTTAACATTAATAGGAACTGAAAAACATTATTTAGGTAAGAAAATCAGGTACTGAAAATTGTAATTAAAAATAGGGAAATTTGCGCTGGGTACTATATACCCATGGTTAGTGTTCTAGGGTTAATAAGATGTTTAGTACCAGTATACGTGACATGGCGGGTCCTAGCAGCAAAGGTCGAAATTAGTGAAACTATGTCATTAGAATATTTGATATGGAAATAGCGATTAGAGGTTTACGACATTTCGCCCGTGGGGAAAGTAGTTACCAGAAGGACAACAATTCATCACTCAAAAGCCCGCACAGGCACTCTATTCAGACAGGGAAGTGAGGACTGGACAGTTCCAGTCCAGATATGTCTGAAAGGTTCCATTTTCGGTCTGACCCGGCTCTTGTAGACGTAGAGCATGTCAGGAGGAGTTAGGTACATTCTTGAGTAGTAAAAAGAAGAAACTATTTAGCGATGAATCTCTGAAAAGCAGGAGAGGGTCCGACGGTCATGGACGATAACATGGTTTAAGAAAATGCCTTTTTTCTTCGGAAAAGCGAAGATCGAATGGATAGTTGCCGGATAGTCTAAGAAATGACCTGAAATACTTCCAGGACTCATTTACCGTTTTCTTTTGATTGCTGTCTAGATGCGGGCAATGTTTTCAAATGATCTCTTTGTTAAAGCCATTCCAGAACGTGAAGCACCAAATTTGAAGCGTCGTTATTAAAATTTCGACTGGCACCGCACATTGAATTACCTGCGAAAGCCTTTTTATAATCATTCGAAAAATTTCAACGAATGAAGAGATGCACTCACGCAGAATCACGCGTTCGGTCCTTGTAAACATGGGAATCATATAAGAAGACAAGCACACTTAATTACATATCACTGCCGACCGAGTAACCTTACTGTAGAGAGTATTGCTAATGATTTCACGATAAAAATGCATTGAAAAATGGAGTAGAACGGGATTGTCAGTGGTCAGGAATGAAGGCAAGCGTTACTGATAGAATAGGGCTATTATATGTATAATGGAAATGCATTGCTAATGATTTTACTATAGGAATGCATTGAAAATGAGGAAGAAAGGGATTGTCAGTGGTCAGGAATGAAAATGGCAAGCATTACTGATAGAATAATGGCTATTATATGTAATAATGGAAATGCATTGCTAATGATTTTACTATAGGAATGCATTGAAAATGAGGAAGAAAGGGATTGTCAGAGGTCAAGAATGAAGGCAAGCATTACTGATAGAATAATGCTATTATATGAATAATGGAAATGCATTGCTAATGATTTTACTATAGGAATGCATTGAAAATGAGGAAGAAAGGGATTGTCAGTGGTCAGGAATGAAGGCAAGCATTACTGATAAAATAGGGCGATTATATGTATAATGGAAATGCATTGCTAATGATTTTACTATAGGAATGCATTGAAAATGAGGAAGAAAGGGATTGTCAGTGGTCAGGAATGAAATGGAAATGCATTACTGATAGAATAGGGCTATTATATGTATAATGGAAATGCATTGCTAATGAATTTTACTATAGGAATGCATTGCTAAAATTTTACTAGGAATGAAAAATGGGATTGTCAGTGTCAGGGTCCATGAATGAAGGCATTACTGATAAAATAGGGCGATTATATGTATAATGGAAATGCATTGCTAATGATTTTACTATAGGAATGCATTGAAAATCAGGAAGAAAGGGATTGTCAGTGGTCAGGAATGAAGGCAAGCATTACTGATAAAATACTGCTTCCATTTATATAAATAACTTTTGTGTTGTTTCATTTGTTCCATTGTTTGTATTTATTTGGGTGAAATATATCTTGGTCTTTATTTGAAGTATCGTGGCTTGTGGCATATTCAAGATTCATGCAAAACTTCTATAGCCAGACCAGAAAGTATTATCCAACATATTTTCTTGAATTTCTTTTTAGGATTGGCAGGGTAATTTATAAAAGCTGTCTTTCTATCTTTGTCAGTGAATACCTATCAAAATTCTGACTACATAATATTTGCGTTGATGAAGGAAAAATACGACCGGGGGTGGACAGTGGAAGAAAAAAAATTAAACAAAAAAACTCAGTCTGTGAATCAAAAAACAAATGTCTTTGAGGCAGCGCTATCTTTTCGTTTTTGACACATCAAAGCGCCTTGTAGGTCTGTTGGTCGCCAGAGGCCTTTCTGACGACAGGTTACTGATAATGCGTCAGTAATAATGTCGATAAACATGGTTTATATACAGTCTCGTTTGTGATGGAGGTGTCGTCTGCAGTCAATCAAAATGTGTTTCCTTGAGTCGAAGCCATTGCAAATGAAACACACAATCAACCAACCCGGACGGTGATTAAACCGTTTCCTTTTCATGTCAAGTGAAGTTAGACATTGCATGGCAGATGAACGTGATCATGTGACTCGACGAAGTAAGTCTGTTTGCTTATCGTTCACACACACACACACATATATATATATATATATATGCATACACACACACACACACACACACATATATATATATATATATATATATATATATATATATATATATATATATTTACATATATGTGTGCAAATATATATAAAATAGGAAAGTAAATAATCCGAAGTTCTTTAGTATTTTTGTTTTTATTTAAAGAAAAATAGTGCTCAATACATCAATAGATCCTAAATCACTCTCACACACACACACACACACACACACACACACACACACACACACACACACACACACGTTGGTGCGTATGTTTTGTAAATTTAAAAAAAATTCTTTATTAAAAATAGACGTCGCTTTCGAGAATCAAATATTGAACAAAGTGATTGCGAGCTCATGGCTCAGTGGATAAAGACGTTGGTTAGATCCAGTGACTAGACCCAAAGAGTTGTGAGTTCAATACCGAGAAACAGCAGTGGTGAAGCGAGAGTTGAAATAAAGGGAAATAACTGAGACAAGAGGAAGTGGAACTAGAACAATCTACCCAGGTGAACGAAATAACAGGT